CTTCAGATTAGTATTTTTTGCTTCTACTGTCTCCGTGTTTTAATGTTGAAAAAGCTCTTTATTGTTCTCATACTGCCTGTGCTGCAGCACATCTTTTCACCCTCTGTCTGAAACCAGAGCCCAGTCTGCTCTGATTGGTTAGCGGGCCAGCTCTGTTGTGATTGTTCAATCGCTTAAAAATGTCCCGCCCCTTAGCCTATCACGTACAATGTGTTAGGAGCACTAGCCAATAGAAGCGCGAGTGTTACATAGTGATGTCACTATGTTACAGAAGTAAACAAGGGAGTCCAATGGAGGCGTTTCAGGCACGGGGGAGACACTTTGGGAGTTTAACACACTAAGCAAAGAAAAAAAAGAATAATAATAATAAGGACTCTTTAAAGGTCACATGTCATGGCCATTTCCACTGATCATAATTCCATTGTTGAGTTCTACTAGAATAGATTTATACTGTGCAATTTTCCAAACTCACATTGGTTTCGCATACAGCATCTCTGTAAACTACGTGTATTCACTCTCTCCACTAAACGGCTCGTTGCAGCTCTTGCCCCCCCCCCCCCCCCCCTCCCTGTGAGCCCAGTGTGCTCCGATTGGTCGGGACCAGTCGGGACGTTGTGAATCGCGCTGAGCTCCGTGGAGGTGTGATTTCCTTGTTTAGCGATACACAGCGAAACACAGCCAAAACTCACCCTGAGCACACACAAAGTCACAGCCGAAGTAAAAACAATAAGTGTGGCTTGATATTGAGTAAGAAAAGGGTTGATAAACGCTGTGAGAACGGGTCTGCAGAGAGAATGGGTCTGCAGAGAGAAATGGGTCTGCAGTGAGAATGGGTCTGCAGTGAGAACGGGTCTGCAGAGAGAATGGGTCTGCAGAGAGAATGGGTCTGCAGAGAGAATGGGTCTGCAGAGAGAATGGGTCTGCAGAGAGAATATCAGCCTGCAGCCAGGGAGGAGAGATCAGCAGAACTGCCTGCACTGAGTGTGTGAGGAAGTCCGTGGATTGGTCAATTTGGACCAATCAGCGGGGGCTTAACGTAACGGCTCCGCGGACGTAACGTAACGGCTCCGCGGACGTAACGGCTCCACGGATTGGTCCATTTCGTTCCGGGGACGACATGACATCATGATGTCCCCGGAAGAATCAAATGGACAGTGACGTATCTCCAACGAGGCGTTTTGGGGAGGTATTTTGTGTGTTAGAGTTTTACTCCCTACAGGGTGTACTTTGAGGGTTTTGACTCTGCACACCGTTTACATGCATAAAAACCTTCATAACACACAAGGGGACGGGTAATAACCGGAAAAGCATGACATGTCACCTTTAACACATATTTGAAAAGAATATGTTGAAATGGATGCATTAGCTGTTACTTTGTTATGGAGACTTGTTTGTTTTGCTTATTTGAGGTTTGACTTGAACCCCCCCTTTTATCAGGCACCTCCTAAGTTCTGTCTCCCTATGAGTTCTGATACTGGTGGAAATGAGGAGAATGCCGAGATCCCAGGCCAGGCTTAACAAGTCCCTGTGAATAAAACCCTGCTTACCTCCAGAGCTTGGATCACTGCTCAGAGGATCCAGATGGTTCCGATTCTTAATTATAGAAATTGGATTCTGGGACATCTGCTCAGTGTCAGAGCATGTTGTGTTCGTCTGCTGTTTGTTGTCGTGGACTGTGTTTATGTTTATGTTAAAATTGGAATTATGGGGGCTGGGATGCCAGCCAGTGCTCGGCACACCAGGAAGTGCTATTCCACCATTCGTTCCTCAATTACAGTTTGTGCTATTTCAGTTAACCATTCTGTTAAACAGCAGACAGCTAATTTAGCTCAGCTCAGCTTCATGAGCTCATAGAAACAACGAGAGCTGACAAACATGTGTGTGTTCTTGTGTGTGACCTATTACAGATGCTCTATGAGAACATGTTATCTGTAGTATCATTGCAGATCATTACTCGTTCACTGCAGTTCACTTCTTCTCAAAGATGCCCGCCTCCCTCCTTTGTCTAGTAGTATAATTCCAAAGTTTAAAACTCAAATGTGTTCAGCAATCAGCAGTTTGTACAGTTGCTGTGTCTAGCTTGGTACTCTAATGTCAAATATATAACTTTTTGAGTGAGTTACTCAGATGAGTACCAGGAGACAGCGTTTGGTACTCACCCCACACGAAGCGTGGGCCTCCTCAGTGTCTCCTTCACTGTCCTCTATTTACACTTCTTGCATGCTAGATGATGAAGATGATGAAGATGCACCTCCCTGTCTCTTTTTAAGCCCCCGATTTGCTTTCTCCAAAACTTGTTGCCAAAACTGTGAAGTCCTTGCATTTCCTGAGGCCAAGTTGAAGGATCAAACACTAAGAATTATTATCACATGACTTGAAGTCCTATCTGATTTCAGATGTGGGAAGTTACTAAGTACACTTATTCAAGTACTCTACTTAAGTACAATTTTGAGATATTTGTACTTTACTTGACTTTGATCTAATTTGTAAAATTAGCTGCACCTTTACCAGCTTTGAGAACACTTTAATGATCAATCATTACAAACATATCATATATATTATTCTGAAATGGACCAATCTGCACAATGACTACTTTTACTTTTGGTACTTTAACTATATTTTGATGAGAATACTTTTCTAATTTTACTTGAGTAACATTTTGAATGCAGGACTTTTATTGTAACAGATTAAAACTCTGGTACTTCTACTTTTACTCAAGTACAAGATCTGAGTACTTCTTCCACCTCTGTCTGATTTCAAACTCTTCCATAACACCCTGAGGAAGTTTGCAACTGTGTGTTTTACTGCACTTTGTTTTAAATCAAACTGCAGCAGCTTGACCACAGAGCGTGAACGTTGTGATCAGCTGATTTGCGCAGTTCTCCAGTGTGTGCGCGGGGCACAGAATGTGCACAGGGGAGTCTCCCACTGCAGCCAGTGGCAGAGGTTTTGGCACAATTCTGTTGTTCATACCGACGTTAACCCTGTCTGTGCACATGGCGACCAACTCTGTCGTCCGGTGATGTAAGCCTCTGCCTCCTGTAAGCTTCACAGGTCCGTCGGTTATGTCCTGCGCGGCTCGGCCAGCTCCAGTTCAATCAGTCACAGAAAGTCCGAAGAGTTTTTGCAGGGAGCGAAACGGCAACGTAGCTGCTTAATGTCTCTTGTAGTCTCCATTGACTGTTGACAAGAAACACGTGTAGACGAAATATGTGTTTTGTTTAGATGTTTTGAGGTACGCAAAGGCGCGTAGTGACACAAGTGACGTTACGCAATTCAGATTTTTGCCGCGCATGCGTACCTGCGTACCAGTTATGTCCACCCCTGCATATAGGCCAAATCTTATCACATTTTGGGATTCAAAGATTTGGTTTCAGGTCCGGTGAACATTTTTGATAATCTTAGTGAAGATACCAAGGTTTGATGAAGTGTTGGAAGTCCACTGATATTGCAAACAACATCTGGGGATGATTGGATAAGCAACTGTAGGAGTTCACAATAAAATGTGTGTGTGAACTTGTGTGAGAGAGAAGAGGAAGATTTGCTTCATAATTGTATTAAAGTCTCACTGCCTCACACTAATATAATTAGTTCCCAATGTTGCCTCCAGTCAAATATTTATTTAAATAATCTAACAGAGTCTCAGTGGTGGAAAGACCCAATGTGTTTCAAATAATTGATCAGGCATATCTGACCCAGTTATACACAATTTTTGTTTGAGGCTTCTTAATTAATGTTTTATGAAATGCAATATATCTTTGAGTGTCCTTTATAAATTCGGCTCACCTAGCCAGAGTCTTCACTGTTGAAAACTCACTGTGACACGTTAGACTGTTTTGTGCTCAAACTTGCAGCTATGTACGGGACATAATGGTCTGATCAACTGGTCTAATCAAGTTGGGTTTTATACAAGTTGTTGATGGTTTGCTCTGTAGCTGTTAGCGGTGATGGCTATCTGACATCTGTGGAGACGTGTATGTTCAGCATCACTCGCATTCCTCCTGGACGTGTCCAGATCTGCTGCTGCCGCACACATCCTCATTCCTTTACTTCTCTGTTTCACAACTCTTTCACACTAAAAAGATAACAGATGAGTTCAGTAAACAGGGAAAGGATGGGGATATCAGCAATGGAATGGACTCGTTGCTGAATTCATGGAGGAATGGGTCATCGTGTGCAAAGTTAAAGCCGTTAATTAGTAACTTTATTAAAAATAACTTTGTCATATCTGCTAAAACTGTCAGTATATCCTGACAGAAATACGTGAGACGGGGTATCAGTAAAAACAACTAAATCATGTTCCTCTGCCTCCCCCAGTACTCCTAATAATTTGATCTTGAGCTGAGAAATCTCCAGAACTCTAATCTAACTAGGAAGCTCATCAAATGTTAATCAAGTCTCTCCATTGCTTATTTCCCCCCTCCGTTGTTTCAGAACCATATTTTAGTTTCCTGTTTAGATGTTAAATGAGAGAGAAGGTGATGTTAGATGTTAAAAACAGTAAGGCTCAAACTAAGCTCTGCCCACTCTGCTGCAGGCAAACACTAGGAGCATTTGGGGAGGACACATTATTTATCTAACACACTACTGTCAGGATATAGTGACGGTTTATTTCATTTAATAAAGTTACCTTTAATATGATGCAACCTCAATATCTTCTTTTTGCACCTTCTGATACAACATATACCTTTGATCTCTGACTACGCCAGCACATGATGAATGTTTTAGACACCGTAGGCAAACTAGGTTCTAGTTTGTCATGGTGAAATATGTTTCACCCACATCAAAACGTTCTCTTGCATCAGTCCATGTCCATTGGAAGACCCAAGATTCTTCCTCTTGCTCAACACTCAAAGCTCTACCTTTGATTCAGTGTAGTTCAGTTTTGCTATCGATCTTCTTACGTAACTCTCGGCAAGAAAGCAATCGGTGTATTTAACAAATTGTCAACCAATTGAAATTGGTCTTTTATTTGGAAACATTTCTGTGTCTGTTTGCAGAGTCTCCTCCAGAGAGGTCAGGACGCAGACGCAGCATGCCCGGCAGCTCCTCAGACAAGAACCCCCCCACCATGGAGGCTACGTCCACTGCTGCCACGCCTTTCAGAGTCACCGTGAGTACTGTGAGTGTGTTTCTGTGTATCGTCCCTGTCTTCTGTGCTAATGAAATATGATTTCTATAGCCCCAAATCATCACAGAAGTTATATAGGTGGATGTGCATATAAACAGATATGTATAAAGGTTAATCAATACATTTAAATGTGCAGGCAGCAGTGTGGGTGAATGTTTAGTGCAGGTTATTTTAGATTGGTTACATGGTTACCTCTTGAAAGATTGTCAGCGGCACTTTGTGCTGTGCCAAGCATGCCTCTGACTTTTCTCCTCCTTACTTTGCCTTAAGAAGCTCTTAGCTGTCCATCAGTGTGTACAGAAGGCTGCTCTGGTGTCCAGATGGACTCGTGCCAATTTGAAACAAATTGACTTCAAATGTTGGAATGGGGCCTTTGATGTTTGGCGCATACACATCACACATCTACACATCTTGGGTTTATGTTCAGCACACCATCCTCTGCTGCCTTTTTACTTCCTGTGTGATTTTCCATTGCATTTCACACTGAATAACTTGTACACACTCCCAAACCTGCACGCACAACACATTCACTCACTTAGAGGACAACTACACACACAAAAACAGACACTCTCACACAGAGCAGTCTTCATCTGGCTCTAAATCAAATCCGGCATGCTTGCTGCCATGTTTAATTCAATAGATAAACAGCCAGTTAATGAAGCAAAAAAAAAAGATCCGCTGTGAGTCATCAATTTCCAGCTAATTAGCAATTAGCAGTGCACATTTCCATTAATAAATAACGAGTGGGGAGATGACGACCCGGAGGTGAACTGTAAACAGTGGATGTTGGGCCAGAAGGGCCAAAAGCACTCTGCGCTTTCAGCCTTTGTGAAGCTCTAGTACACTAATGGGCCATGTTGAGTGTTAAAAGGCATTGCAATATTTCTGAAAGGTTGTCATTTCTTTCTTCTTTTCTATCAGCCATCTTCAGCACTCAGTTTATTAAGAGGCAGTCTCAACAACAAAAACCAAACATTGGGATGCCTCTAAGGAAAGTAAAAGCTCACAGTGAATAAGTTAACAACTAGGCGAGACCCGCTGGTGTTGGACCACCTGCAGAGTGGGAATAAAGTGTGTCACGAAATAATTTTAGAAGGTGCAAATATAAAATCACCTCAGCTTGATGAGGCAGAGATTGCCAAACTCTCATTGGTCTAGATAAAACAGTGAAGATAGCGTTGCAAGGGAAGTGTGTGCATGTATGGATGTGTTTGCTCTTGTCTTGTGAATGTGAATTGAGTCATTGAACTGTTTTACTTTGATATGAACAGGAATCAACGAGGTATAGAAGGTGAATAAAAAAGCCTGCAGGAGACAGAAAGGGTCAATAGTGGAGGCTAAATATTGATTAAGTGTCTCATGCAGTACTCTCTGAGGAAGAGAGAGAGAGAGGCACTGCAGCAAAGTCATCCAGTCCCAATCACATGACCACTACATTTACTCTGATGGCTTATTGCTAAGCAGCAGTGAGTGTTTGCAGATAAAAAAACCCTTCCCCAGACAGTGTTTGACCCTTTCCTGCACTTTTTTCCTCATACTGCCCCCTTCTGGTCTCTAGAGGCAGCACAGCGACCAGGCAACTTTTTAAATGAACTTTTATTAAAGATATGTAAATGTTCTGCTTGAATGAATACATTTTAAGGATAGGTAAGGGAGGTGTAGATAGATCAAATACTCATTGAAAGGGGCGGCTGTGTCTCAGGGGAAATTGGGGTCTACCAATGGTCGAAGAGGTATTCTGAGCTTATTCTAAAGTGAAAGTAATAATACCACAGTGTAGAAATATTCTGTTCGAGTAAAAGTCCTGCTTTCAAGATTCTACTCAAGTAAAAGTACAAGTATTAGCAGCAAAATATACACAAGTACCAAATCTAAAAGTACTTTTAAGTAGCCAATTTCAGAATAATATGTATTTTATTATTGGATTATAATTAATGATCCATTAATGCGTTGGATAATTAATTTTGCAGCTGCAAAAGAGACACATTAACTTGTATTACTGCCCATGATCTCCATCCATAATAGACACCGTAATTCATTAATTACTTTGGTTTTTGTATAAATAATATGAACCTACAAAAGTACATTTTAACTGATCTTGTAAAAAAATGCATAATAGGGCTTATTTACCAGCAGTACTTGAGTAAATGTACTTAATTACTTTACACCACTAGTGTCTACCCATCAGAGGGTCAGTGGTTAGTCAACCCCAAAAATTGCTGTTGAAAAAATGGCATGTCTAAATTTTTTAAGTATATCTAAGTCGCTTTGGATAAAGGTGTTAGTTAAATGACATGGAATATCAAAAATAAACACGTGTAGTATATAGACACAATAGATAAAGTATGTAGATGGATACGGTTCAGTCATGGTGGCACACACACATGTGGGCAGGCAGTCGACGGGTTTCTTCTCGCTTCTCACTTTTCTCCCTTCAGTGAAAAGAGTTGCGGTGACATCTAAAGTACCCCTCCTAGGCCTTGAGCTAAATCTGTCAAAATGCTTTTCTCTCATGTTTTTTGAAGAGACTGGGTTGAATGTGTGCACTCACAATTGAAAGCCACGTTCACACTCACACAGAAGCCCAGCCTGGAACACTTCTCCAAAACAATTTTCTCCCCAGTAGGCATTGGAGAAAACTAAAACCTCCCCAAAGCCTTATCTTCCACAGCCAATTCAGAAATATTAGGAAAGTGCATACATCAAGTACACAAAGTTGCTACTTGCTAGTTTCTCTTATTCAGTGGCTGTTTAAAGAGCGGACAAACAAACCTTATCTCAGTCCGTCACGTCCTCGTCCCGCTGATTGGCTGGATTGATTCTCAATTGTGCCTTAGCTCCTTGTCCAATCTCTCCCTGACTTTATTCCCCCCCACACCGCCCCTCTCCTCTCAGATACTAGCAGGGGGTCTAATTGGACAGGTATGTCTCTTGTTTTCATCAAGTTGTGCTAGAGGAGGACAGAGAGGTTGATGTAGCAGCAGGGAACACCCCGCTGATTGTCCAGGCACAGATTCTATCACAGCCCATTAGGGAAGCCGGGAATTGCCAAGCCAAGGGAATAGAAGGAACTTGTTGCATTTGCTTTAATTTCATGAAAAAAAGCACAGCAATGAAATGGAGTTGTCCTCTCAGTGCTCAGTTAATGGGCTTGGACAGGCTGAGATTACAATCAAGTATGCAAGCCTGTTCTGCACTCTCACAAATACACAGATCGGCACTGTAAACACGGTGACATAGTAAACACTGAGACTCTATTTCCACTACCATGAAATTCCATTTAGACTTATCGAGGGTTGGCGCAAACCAGCCCCTCCTCCCCTTGGAGGATGCATGTTGAGTCAGATGAATCCATCCCCTCCTTCAGCTAATTAGCTGTCAACCGTGGAAATGTGGAATTATTAAAGAGCTCATTGAAATGCATGCTAATAAGTGGCACTGTGTTGGACCCCTGTCAGGTTGCACTGGCTGTAATAGCCTTAACATGTCTCTGTGTAAAATGCAAACTGAAATGTAAATCGAGAGACATTAGAGCAAAACCAATGTATGTTAGACTAACTGGAAACATTTATCCAAGGGGTCTGTATTCATGTCCTGGAGTCAATCATTGACATTACTATTATTTAACCAAGCTCACAGGGATATTGTATTCCCATAAGTCGATTTTACACATTTCTTTAGAATACAATAGAACAGTGATGTGACATATTACATCTCATTAGATGCCATTTGTGTATGTTAGCAGTTACTGGCCTTGTCAGCTGTAAGAACTCATCGAATACAGCAAGACGTAATGTGGAGACATCAAGGTGTTAACACTGTGTTTTCACAGTGGTGGAAGGAGCACTCAGATATAGTAACACAACTAAAGTGTTAGTGTTGGGATCAAAATACAATTAAAGTACCAAAACCCAAAGTACTCATCATCTGTAATGGACCATTGCAAAACAATATATATTCAATTAGTGGAATATGATTATTGTTGCATTAAGCTGTCTATCAGGAATGGTAGAATTGTAGAATCTTTTTTCTTTGTTCTCCTCTTCTCTCAATTAACTGTCATTGGGATTGGGGAAACGTGTGGAAATCGTTTTTCGCAAGGACACATTAAGAGGATTTTCCAGGATCGAACTGGTTCATTTGTATTTTGTTATATTTACCAGTGTCTTTGCTTCCGGCAACAAAGAATGACGTAACGGACCACACCAACAAAGAAGGTAGTGGAGGGGGTCTGACAAAACAGTAACATACAGTTTAAAATACAACCTTCTTCCTCCACTTTTATTTTGACAGTTAAGATATCACCATGTACACTCCTCCTCCGATCGTTCTTTTTTGATTTGTCTTGTTTTTTTATGGCAATATATTGTTTGACATGTAAATGATCGGATGGAACATACCATGATGACATTTGGGATGCGGATTTCTATCTACCCGTCCCCTGTTAAGGAGGAACATTATGAAGAAATGTATTTATTTTCAATGAGAACTGAGGATGCCAACACAAAGAGGACATTTCGTTAGATCTGAGATGTACATTTCTCTGACGTTTGTTTCTCTCTGGGCTACAACACATTGGGTAGATGAATTGCCAGGGTCAGAAGACCCTGGTTTGGGTGGGATGTTATATTGTTTTCTTTTTGTGTTTTGCGTTTGTGTTACATTAGTTTTAATGTTAAATAATAAAAGCAGTGACAATCCCTTTTGTGTATGGGGCCAAAATATACAACTTAAATATAATCCCACAGATATGCAGCAGTCACCATGCAAAACATGAACATCTATTCTTGGAATATTAAAGGCTTGGGAAACCCCATAAAAAGGAATAAAGTATTATCTCTTCTTAAAAAAGACAACGCTGATGTGGTCTTCTTACAAGAAACCTTTCTCTCAGATACTGAACATCTTAAATTGAAAAGAGATTGGATAGGTCAGGTGTATTTCTCATCATATAAAACCCATAGTAGAGGGACAGCTATTGTGATAAACAA